TCTCCTCCAACAACACCTTTTAAATGGGAATACCACCACCTGCAAGTCCCTCTCAAAACCACACAGACCATCCTGACTTGGAAAAAATATTGTTGTCCCTTCGCTGTCACTGGATCAAAATTCAAAAACTCACTTCCTAACAGGTAGGTATTCCTACACCACAAGGAATTCAGTCATTTAAGAAAGCATCTCACACTACCTTCTCCACTTCGCCCATAGCAATTAGAAATAGGCGATAAATGCTAGTCTTGCCAGCGATACATAATAAATGAATGATAAAGAAATCTTATTATTATTCTTTGGTATTCTTCATAATCTACCCAATCTTCTGTCCTCTGTCCAACTTTGTGCAATTATATTTCTTTCCCTTTTAATATTATATCTAAATTTTTAATTAACCATAGTTGGTGGGTCTTTTGCTTGGAATGTTTCTTTCTCATTGGAATTTATCTATTCTGTGTATTCTGAAATATCCCCTTAAGTGTCTGCCACTGCATCTCCATTGACCTGTCCCATAACATAATTTGCCAGTTCACTTCAGCTATCCCTGCATATATTCACTAATAACTTCCCTGATTAAATTTGAAATAATAGTTTTGGACTCACTTTTCTCTCCTTAAAACTGAATGCAAAATTCAATAATATAATGATGGCTATTACCTCAGGTTGCCTTCACTATGAGGCTATTCATTAAACCTGTCTCACTGCACAATACCAGGACTACTGTAGCCAGTTTGGTCAGCTCCAGAACATGCTGTTCCTAGAAACTATTCTGGAAACACTCTACGGATTCTTCCCTAGTTTGCTTGAGTACCAGTTTCTGCGTGGCTCAGCTTTAGACTTTTCCAAGGGTAAAGATCCCATCTTCCTCAGTACTGCTGATAATACCACAAGAACCATGCCCCACATCTCCCAGGTTTAATTCTGATCAAGTTTCACAAACTAAACCGGTCCCATTTGCCTGCGTTTGGCCCATATCCCTCTAAACCTTTCCTATTCATGTACCTGTCCAGATGTCTTTTAAATATTATAACTGTATCAGCATCCATCCAAAAAAACTGCAGATGCTGTAAATCAATCAAAAACAGAAATTGCTGGAAAAGCTCAGCAATTCTGGCAGCATCTGTGCAGAGAAATCAGAGTTAGTGTCTCCGATTGAGTGACCCTCCATTCTGAGGAAACATTTTGTACATTTCAAACAAAATAGGCACCCATGCCACCCATGATTTTATAAACCTCAAGAAGGTTACCCCTCAACCTTCTATGCTCCAGTGAAAAATGTCCCAGCCTATCCAGCCTCTCCTAATAGATTAAACCCTTCAGTCTCAGTAACATTCTTGTAAAGCTTTTCTGCACCCTCTCCAATTTAATAAATCCTTTCTATAACAGGTGACCAGAAGCATACGCAGTATTCCAAAAGTGGCCTCACCAACGCCCTGTGCAACTGCAACATGACATCCCAATTCCTGTTCTCAATGTTCTGAGCAATGAAGTCAGTTGCTATATGCCAATTTTGCATGTAACTGAATTAATAATCCAGAATTATTATCTATTCAGATTCTGCTTCTTAACAAGCCAACCTCCTCCCACTGACTATTCAGAATGTCTCCTCGTGCCTATTATGTTGGTAACTACATTATCCACAAAAACTGGATCCTCCCTCTTCCACTGTAAGTTCATATCCAGCCCCAAGCAGACATTCTCAATACTGGAACCAGGCAGGCACTAAGACCATAAAACTAATTAGACCACAAGATATAGCAGCAGTAGACCATTCAGCCCATCAAATGTGCTCTGCCATTCAAAGAGGTCATGGTTGATCTGATAGACCTCAACTCAATTTTCCTGCCTTCTCCCCATTCCATTTGATTCCCTTCCTGATTAGAAATCTGTCTATCTCGGTCTTGAATATACTTAATGATCCAGCCCCAACACCCCTCTGCAATAAAAAAATTCCACAAGTTCACTACCCCCTGAGAGAAAATATTATTCCCCATCTCAATCTTAAATGGAGGACCCCGTTTCTGAAATCAACTATACCCCTTGGTCCTACATACTTTCAAGGGGAAACAATCTCTCCACATCAGAACTTTGAAGAAGTGTCACTGGACCTGAAACATTAACTCTGCTTTCTCTCTGCGGATGCTGCCAGAGCTGCTGAGTTTCTCCAGCAAATTCTGTTTCTGTTTCAGATTTCTGGCATCCACAGTTCTTTGTTTCTTTTCCCCTTAGGAAGCTTACATGTTTCAATAGTCTCCTCTTATTCTTCTAACCTCTAAAATTTACAAGCCTCAAACAAAATCTTTCCATACCCAAAGACAGTAAGAACTGCCGATGCTGGAGTCAGAGATAACACAGTGTGGAGCTGGAGTAACACAGCAGGCCAGGCAACATCAGAGGAGTAGGAAAGTTGACGTTTTGGGTCAAGACCCTTCTTCAGGAAGGTCCCTTCTTTGGGACCTTTACCTGAAACATCAACTTTCCTACTGCTCTGATGCTGCCTGGCCTACTGCATTCCTCCAGCTCCATACTGTGTTATCTCTTTCCATACCCAAGATCAGCCAAGTGAACTTCTCTGGACTGCCTCCAATGCCAGTATCTCTAACCTTAGATAACTGGGATAAAACTATTTACAGGATTCTTGGTATGGCCTGGCCAGTGCCTCAGTGGACTATCACTATCTCTGCAGCTACATTCGTTAAAATCCTAGTATGTACCCATCAGGTCTAGTGGAGCTATTGGCCTTTTGCTCCATTTGTTTTCCATGTACATTTTCTCTCATGATAGTTATTGTTCCCTAGTGATGGTTATTTATTCCACCACCTCCACCCAACCACACACCACTCCCACCCCTTGGTTACTTAGTATTTTTGGAATTCCATTAGATGCCTTTACTGTGAAGATTGATGCAAAGCACTTATTCAACACCTCTGCTTTTTCCTGGTTCCTCATTATTATTTCCCAAGGCTCATTCTTTATGTTCACTGTGACCTTACTCTTCCTTTTTATATATTTAAAGAAGTTCTTATTGTCCATTTTTGTACTACTTACTAACTTGCCCTCATAATTTATTTTCTTGCTCTTTATTATTCTTCTGGTCATCTTTGTTGACTTCTAAACCTTACCTAATCTTCTGCTTTACAACTAACCATTACACCATATTATATGTTTTTTCTTCCAATTTGATGCTATCTTGACTTCTTTGGTTTACCAAATATTGGTTTATCCCTTTCAAGAGCCCTTCTTCCTCACTGGGATATATCTTTGCTGTTAATCATGAACTATTTTCCTAATTGTCTGCCATTGTTCCCCAACCACTTTTCTGCTAAACTCCTTTCCCAGTCCATTCCTGTCAACATGTCCTCATCCTCATGTAAATGTTTATTTAAGTTTGGCATTGTTGTTTCTGATCTAGGTTTATCACTCAAAACTGAATGCTAAATTCTACCAGGTTGTGATTACTGTTCCATGGGGGATCCTTTACTCTGAAATTTATTTATTATACCTGCCTCATTATACATAACCACATCCAAAATATTCTGATCCCTTGTTAGATCCACATATATTGTTCCAGGAAACTGTCCCAAAGGCACTCTCTGAATTCTTCCTCATGGCTTCTGTTGCCAATTTGATTTTCCCAATCACTAAGATTAAAGTCACCCTGATCAATGTGCTGCTTTTTACATGGCCTCATTATCTACTGATTTGTTCTATAGAACAGTGACTATTAGGGGGCTATAGATAACTCCTAGTGTCTATCTCCACTTGTTATTTCTTGTCTCTGATATGGATTATATATCATACAACACTAGATCATTTCTTGCTATCATACTTATTCCACTTCATACTAACAATGCCAACCCACTGCCCTTCCCTTCCTATCTGTCATTACAAAAAGTCAAATAGCTCTGAATATTTAGCTCCCAACTTTGATCTCCTTGTAACCATGTGTCCATAATAATTAAGATCATAGTCATTAATTTACTTGTGCCATTGATTCCCTTATTTTGTTCTGAATATTTGTGTTTAAGAACCATTAATTTTACCTTTGTAACCATCCCCACCACCAACAACCCTATTTGTTGATGTTTCTCTTATGCTTGTACACACTTCCACTTCTGTCCCACTGTAGATATCTTTATCATAAAATAGTTGTGTTGCACTGCTGACATTACCTTTCACTTTGTAAGTTTACAAATCCTCCACCGTGTCCCACCAGCCTTCCCATTAGCCCTCCAATTAGTTTAAATCCCTCTCTACTGCTCTTGTTATTTGGTTCTCAGACACTGATCCCAGCACAGTTCAAGTGATCCCACCAGAACATAGGAATTAGGAGCAGGAGTGGTCAATTCAGCCCCTTGAGCCTGCTCTGCCATTTAACATGATCATGGCTGATTTTATCATGGTCTCAACTCCACTTTCCTGCCTGCTCCCATAGCCCTTTATCCTATTTTTTGTCAAAATATATCTTTTTTTTTCTTGTATCTGTTGGTTGATTCTGCCTCCACGGCACTCTGGGGCAGAGAGTTTCACAGATTCACAACCTTCTGAGAGAAGTAGTTTCTCCTCATCTTGGTTTTGAACCTACCTCCTCTCACTCTATATCAATGGCCTCTTGTTCAAGATTGTCCCTCAAGGTGTGTCATCTGTTCAATGTCCACCTCATCAATCCATTTTAGCATTTTATATACCTCAATCAGATGCCCCCTCATTCTTCTGAACTCCAATGAGTACAAGCCCACAGTATTTAACTGCTCCTCCTATCTCCTTTCATCCCCGGAATCAGTCTGGCGAACTTTCTCTGAACTGCCTCCAGCGCCACTATATCCTTCCTCGAGTAAGGAGATCAAAACTGGATATAATATGCCAGGTGTGGTCTCACCAATGCCCGATTTTATTTTTATATACAGTCATTTTACAATACATATCAGGATTCCATTTGCATTTTTTTAAATTTTATGCTGCATTATATTTTTTCTTTTGTCGCTTCTTTTTGGTAGAAGGCAGAGCGAAAGCTTTGATGTCTGGAGTGTGGCGATGGCAGGTGAGCCCGTAGCAAGACCTGGAAGACGGTAGCGAAGCGGCTGGTGAGCCAGGAGCGGGATCTCAAGGATGGCGGCAAGGCAAGGCAGTCGGCCATCACGGAGTGGGACTCTGATGGACAATGGCGACATTGAGTCCAGAGTGGGACTCTGGAATCAGCGTCGAAGAGGCAGCTGGTGGAAGGGTGAGCACGGGGACCCGGTATCGGCTGCTACATTGGCAGAGACCGACGGCTTCGATGTTGAGGTGATTTCAGCCTGGCATCTGGCGGCCCAGGAATCCTTTGAGCCGCTTTTGCGACATCTTCCTTCCTGGGATCAGTGACGAGATTGGTCTTTGACGCAGCTTCTGTGGACTCTTTCGGAAGGGGATTCCGGCAGCCTGGTGTGGCGGTCTTAAAGTGGTACTGTCTTTTCCTGACCCCGGGAGCTGGGAATTGAACTAAGATGGACTTTGTCTTAATTTTTTTTAATAAAAATTTTCTTATCTATGCATTCTGCTTTTAATATAGGTGCAGTGGGATGGTGCATTAAGCATTTCTCACTTTTTTTGTCACAAGTGACAATAAATGACTGTTCTAATCACCTGCATACCCTCTTCCTGTGATTCATACGTAAAGACACCCAGATCCCTCTGTGCTGACACGCTTTGAATCTGCTTCCCTTTAAAATAAAAATTTGCACTTTTACTTTTCTGGCCAAAATGGACAACCTCACATTTATCCACATTATACTCCATTCTCCTAGCCTATCCACCTGTAAACTCTTTATCACCTAATTACCACCGGCTTTCCCACTTATCAGGAGGGGGAGGATCCAGTTGTTGTGGTCCACGCTGGAACAAACAACATAGGCAAGACTAGGAAAGAGGACCTGTTCAGAGATTCAGGAGCTAAGAACCAAATTAAAGAACAGGTCCTCAAGAGTTATAATTTCTGGATTACTGCCTGAGCCACATGCTAATTGGCATAGGGACATGAGAATAAGGGAAGTAAACATGTGGATAAAAGAGTGGTGCAGGAAAGAGGGGTTCCTTTTCATGGGGCACTGGCATCAGTGTTGGAACAGGAGGGATCCGTACCGTTGGGACGGTCTCCACCTGAATCGAACTGGAACCAATGTTCTAGCGAAAAGGGTAAATAGGCCGGTCAACAGGACTTTAAACTAGGAAGTGTGGGGGAAGGGAATGGTGAAACTTGCCCCAATGGGAAACAAAGCAGCAGGTTAACATCTGTAGTGGCGGATTCAACTGCGTGGAAAAATATGAAAGAAATAAGAGGGAGGGAGAACTCGGGAGCAGTTATTAAAGTCTCCAGCACAGACACAAATTTGACAGAGTGTTTGGAAAGGGCTAGCAATCAAACACTGGAAAAACAAATGAAAATGAGAAGAGGGAGGGTTAATACGGACTGAAGATGTTATATCTGAAGGCACGCAGTATAAGGAATAAGATAAATGAGCTTGTACAGATCGAAACTGGCAGGTATGACTTGGTAGGTATCATGGAGATGTGGTTGTAAGGGGATCAGGATTTTGAACTGAATATCCAAGGATATACATCCTATTGGAAAGATAGGCAGGTGGGCTGAGGGGTTGGGGTTGCCTTATTAGTGAGAAATGAAATTAAATCAATAGGAAGAAACGAAGTGGGGTCAGATGGTGTAGAATCTGTGTGGGTAGAATTGAGGAACCGCAAAGGTAAATGAACCATAGTTGGAGTTGTGTACAGGCCTCCAAACAGTAGTCAGGAGCTGGGAGTGCAAGATACACCAGGAGATAGAAAAGGTGCATAAGAAAGGCAAAGTCACAGTGATCATGGGGGATTTCAATATGCAGGTGGACTGGGAAAATCATGTTGGTAGTGGATTGCAAGAAAAGGAGTTTGTGGAATGTCTAAGAGATGGCCTTTTGGAGCAGCTCGTGGTGAGCCTACAAGGGAACAGGCAATACTGGATTTAGTGTTGTGCACTGAGGCAGACTTGATAAGGGAGGTTATGGTAAAGGAACCCTTAGGAGGCAGTGATCATAAAATGATAGAATTTACTCTGCAATTTGAGAGGGAGAAGATAGAATCAGAGGTAACTGTATTACAGCTGAATAAAGGTAACTACAGAGGTATAAGGGAGGAACAGGGCAGAATTGACTGGAAGAGGAGCCTAGCAGGAAAGACAGTGGAACAGCAATGGCAGGAGTTTCTGGGAGCAATTCAGGAGACGCAGCAAAAATTCATCCCTAGGAAAAAGAAGCGTGGTACAGGGAGGATGAGGCAACCATGGTTGACTAAGGAAGTCAGGGATAGCATAAAAGCAAAAGAGAAAGCATATAATGTGGTGAAGGGCAGTGGGAAACCAGAGGACTGGGAAACTTACAAAGACCAACAGAGGGCAACAAAAAAAGAAATAAGGAGGGAGAAGATTAAATATGGGGGTAAGCTAGCCAGTAATATAAATGAAGACTGTAAGAGTTTCTTTAGATATATAAAGGGCAAAAGAGAGGCAAAAGTGGACTTTGGACTACTGGAAAATGACGGTGGAGAGATAGTAGTGGGGAGCAAGGAAATGGCTGAGGAACTGAATAATTACTTCACATCAGTCTTCACAGTGGAAGACACGAGTAATCTCCCAATAATTCAAGAGAGTCAGGGTGCAGAGCTGAGTATGGTGGCCATCACCAAGGAAAAGGTGCTAGTAAAACTGATTGGCCTGAAAGTGGATAAATCACCTGGACCAGATGGACTACATCTCAGCGTTCTAAAGGAAATAGCTGAAGAGATAGTGGAAGTGTTAGTGGTGATCTTTCAGGAATCGAGCGTAAGGGAGGGTCCCAGAGGACTTGAAAATTGCTAACGTGATACCCCTGTTTAAAAAGGATGTAAGGCAAAAGATGGAAAATTACAGGCCGATGGGTAAGATTTTGGAGTCCATTGTAAAGGATGAGATTTCTGAATATTTGGAAGTTTATGGTAAAGTAGGGCATGGTCAGCATAGTTTCATCAAGGGGAGGTTATGCCTGACAAATCTGCTAGAATTCTTTGATGAAGTAACGAGCAGGGTAGACCAAGGAGAGCCAATGGATGTTATCTACCTGGACTTCAAGAAGGCCTTTGACAAGGTGCCGCACAGGAGGCTGCTGAGTAAGATAAGGGCCCATGGTGTTAGAAGCAAGGTGCTAGCATGGATAGAAGATTGGCTGTCTAGCAGAAAGCAGAGAGTGGGGATAAAATGGTCCTTCTCAGGATGGCAGCCGATGACAAGTGGTGTTCCTCAAGGGTCAGTGTTGGGACCACAACTTTTCACTTTATACATTAATGATCTAGATGAAGGAACTGTGGGTATTCTGGCTAAGTTTGCAGATGATACAAAGATAGGTGGAGGGACAGGTAGTATTGAGGAGGTGGGGAGGCTGCAGAAGAATTTGGACAGGTTAGGAGAGTGGGCACAGAAGTGGCAGATGGAGTACAATGTGGGAAAGCGTGAGATCATGCACTTTGGTAAGAAGAATAAAAGCATGGACTATTCTCTAAGTGGGGAGAAAAATTCAGAAGTCTGAAGTGCAAAGAGACTTGGTAGTTCTAGTCCAGGATTCTCTCAAAGTAAACTTGCAGGTTGAGTCAGTAATCAGGAAGGCAAATGCAATGTTGGCATTTATTTTGAGAGGATTTGAATATAAAAGCAGGGATGTACTACTGAGGCTTTTTAAGGCTCTGGTCAGGCCACATTTGGAGTATTGTGGGCAGTTTTGGGCCCCATATCTCAGGAAGGATGTACTGGCCCTGGAGCGGGTTCAGAGGAGGTTCACGAGAATGGCCCCAGGAATGGAAAGCTTAACATATGAGGAACATTTGAGGATTCTGGGACTATACTCATTAGAGTTTAGAAGGATGAGGGGGGGATCTCATTGAAACTTACAGAATACTGAGTGGCCTGGACAGAGTGGATGATGGGAAAATGCTTCCATTGGTAGGAGAGACTAGGACCTGAGGGTACAGCCTTAGAGTAAAGGGAAGAAAAAAAATCAAAGTTGCTGGAAAAGCTCAGCAGGTCTGGCAGCATCTGTGAAGGAGAAAACAGAGTAAACATTTCTGGTCCGGTGACCCTTCCTCAGAACTGGTAAAGGGAAGACCTTTTAGAACGGAGATAATGAGAAACTTCTTCAGCCAGACAGTGGTGAATCTATGGAATTCACTACCACAGAAGGCTGTGGAGGCCAGGTCATTGAGTATAGATAGGTTCTTGATTATCAAGGGGATCAAGGGTTACGGGGAGAAAGCAAGAGAATGGGGTTGAGGAACCTATCAGAGATAGTAGGAACTGCTGATACTGGAATTTGAGTTAACAAGGTGTAGAGCTGGATGAACACAGCAGGCCAGGCAGCATCAGAGGAGCAGGAAAGCTGA